GCATAAATATTTCTTTCCAACTTCCATCCGTCTTTCCTTGCCGAATAAATAATTCGGGGTTTATTTGACCAGGCGCCGGTTGGTTCACCATGGAATTCTTACGGAAATTTTCAATATTCAAGTGCTCTGTTAATTTAGCGATTTGTTCGTTGTTGTAAGTTTTGCCGAAAAACGTGGCGACTTTCTTGATGCTTTCGATTAAATTCTGTGTAAAATAGATGACGTATTTTATAACTGAGTAATACATATTTACAAAAAAGTACAAATATAATCAGATTGATATTTTAAATAATATTGCAAATCTGTACATAAAATTTGCATCTCACTTTTCTTAAATCTTCATAGAAGAGAAACAAAATATTTGGTTTATGTCTAATTGCCCAAGCTGATTTTACATGCTCCCAATATGGAGCCCATATCGCTAAAAATTAAATGAGTAATTGAAAATAAATAATGTATAGATTATATTTAAAAAAATCGATCGACGTTTTTTGAGAGACTTGCAAACTTTTGAGACTTTGCAAAACTTACAATGATTGTCTATGAAGTCATTACACATCTGTTCAAAGGTTCCTTGATACTGAATCCATTTGTTGTCTTTCTGCAAATGATACCACGAAACCACCACATTTTTTGGGTTTCTCGCGACATAAATGATCTAGAAAAAATGAAAATAACATTTCGGAAGACACATCGGAAAGATTCGTTTTAAATTACATTTTTCGACACACATGCTTACCTTGCAATCGGTGTATAACTGTTGGCAATAAATCGAGAGGAAGATGACTTTTGAAATCGTGGTGAAGACTGATTTTGTACAAATTCGACGCTATATTTCGAAATTTTTTGCTCGTCGGGAGTGTCCTTCGCGAATAACTCGTCTTCTATTATTAAGCTTAAACTAACAATAAAAGAAAAAAGCTTTTTTTTATCATAGAAAGTATTCTCTAATTTAAAAAGGAACAATTTAGTTCGCACATAATTTCTTCATTTTATATAAAAGAGAAACGAGAGAGAAAGTGTGTTTCTAAAATTCTCCATATATTTTATTCAATCGAAAATGCAATTATTAATGAAATAGTTTATGTACATTTCACGTTTATTTGCGTATCAAATAAATGTTAGGTTTTAATTTTTGCACAAAAATTTCATCCAAGTCTTCTCGATTAAAACTTGGATGAAAAAAGAAGAATGTAAATCTAAAAATAGATAAATATAGAAAATGTGAAATTTGTCTCTCTCTCTCTCTCTGTGATTTTTTTTATATATATAATATATATACCGGGTGTTTCAGACCACCCGTACACCCCATTTTAAAGCAAAGGAAGTGGTTATTTTGAAAAATGTTTCAGACAAAAGTTGTTGAAGATAAAGTAATGCATTACATGGGTAAATTTGATTGACCTTGGGTGGCGTCGTGAAGGTCATGTCAAGGTCGACTTGAATTTTTTAAATGGGAACCCCTATTTTTCATTGCATATTCTTGTAGCTTATCTCGAAAGCTTTCCAAAACACTATAATTAAGTACCTTTTTATTAAGTACTTTTTGAGTTATAAGGCTTGAAATAATTTCTTAATTTTATATAAACCATAAAATATCTAGTAAACCATTCATTTTTCGATTATCTTACCTTCATACTTTTATGTACAAAATAATGAGAGGAATCAATTGGTGTAAAGAAAACACATAGTTGTTTCTAAGAAAAAATATGGAATTGTTAATTGCAAATTACATATTTTTTCTTAGAAACAACTATGTGTTTTCTTTACACCAATTGATTCCTCTCATTATTTTGTACATAAAAGTATGAAGGTAAGATAATCGAAAAATGAATGGTTTACTAGATATTTTATGGTTTATGTAAAATTAAGAAATTATTTCAAGCCTTATAACTCAAAAAGTACTTAATAAAAAGGTACTTAATTATAGTGTTTTGGAAAGCTCTCGAGATAAGCTACAAGAATATGCAATGAAAAATAGGGGTTCCCATTTAAAAAATTCAAGTCGACCTTGACATGACCTTCACGACGCCACCCAAGGTCAATCAAATTTACCCATGTAATGCATTACTTTATCTTCAACAACTTTTGTCTGAAACATTTTTCAAAATAACCATTTCCTTTGCTTTAAAATGGGGTGTACGGGTGGTCTGAAACACCCGGTATATATATATATATATATATATATATATATATATATATATATAAATATTATACTGTACTCTAAAAAGGGGAATCTCTCTATTAAATGCCTTCGGTGCGCCTCGTCGAAATTCATATCGTTCGCTACCAACCATATGAGTTCCTGTGTCAACGTCGTACCTGATGGACACAAAACATGTAATCACCAGAATTCAGATTTAGGTGCCGTTTTCCCCAATCCAAGTGCATGTTAGCGACCGAGCGCTGCGAAAAGTATCGTCTATGCCGGTCTAATGATGGTAGCAAAGAAAGCACCGTCGTAGAACAAAAATATATATATATATATTAACATAGAATATATTTTTATTTAATATTATACATAATAAATAAGATAATATAATAAAAAGTAATATATATTTAATAATTAAAGATTTGGCTCAAGTAATCAAAAAATTAAAAAGAAAATGACGTAGGAGCCAACGCGCGATAGTTGAAGCGCAGAGAAGCAACAACACTTCTTTCTTTTGTCAATATTAGTAATATAAAATAAAAAACATATTATAACAAAAAGGGAACGTTTCGAATCATCTTTTGATCCTTCTTCAGCGCGATGTTAACAATATATATTACAGTGATGCGTTACATTAAACGAATTTGTTCTCAACGCATAAGTGACGCTAAATTGCATCCCGCAGAGGTCTAGTAAGCGCTCTGCTTCCAACAGTCAATTAAATATACTATATTTATGCTATGCGACGTCACAGTAGATCTAACTAATCGATAATATATATATTATGTAAAATATAAAACAATATAAGAAATTATTATATTTTCTTTTTCTACGCGACGGTGCCCTCTTTGCTACCATCACTAGACAGGCATAGATGGTACTGCTTTTCGCGACGCTCGGCCGCTAGCATGCTCTGAAAATGGGGAAAACGCATCAAGATCCGGACTGATAATCACAATTAGGATTGCTTCTTGTATTTACAAAATCATTAAAGCTAACTTATTTTCCAATAGCAGAATTAATGAATAAATCGTAAATACAAAATTATATGTGAAAATAGAAAATCGACTATAGGAAACAAGCAAATTAAACTTTTTTTTAGAAAATAAAGAAGAAATAAATTACGGAAAAATACAATAAGATAAAAAAAGTAGCTTACCTGATCTAGGATATGTAATGATCCACGTGTCATCGGGACGAGTCTCAAAGTTAAGTACTTTATCGCCTTGCTCGACATATTTGTATGGCAGAAACCATTTTTTTTCGCCGATCTTGGCAAAACCTTTATGAACCGGATACGATTTGGACAGCGCGACCGCTAATTCACCTTCGACTCGTTCGACTTTCAAGTCCTTGAGAAAAGGCATGCTTCCTTAAAAATTTCTGTCACGAAATGGCTCGGATTTTTTGAATCTAGTTCGAATATTTTCGACCGATTCCGAGCTAATGAAAAAATTCTTAGATTAGAAGAAAGTATATTATAATAAATTGTTATTAATTTTTCTTAATAGTAATTTTTTCTTAATAGCAGTAATTTGAGATATTAGTAAAAAATATTAGTCGAATCTATAATAAATATAGTCGATCGTACATATGAAAGTAGCATATGTTTGTCACAAAACATTTGTGGAAATATAATGTGAGATTGAATATTTAATGTAAGAATAATAATCATTAAATAAATATTATGTATAATAATAAATATTAAAGTATATAATAATCTTTAAATAGATATTATATTTTCTCATCTGCAATATCACAGTTTTCTATCTTTTAATTCGAAGAATTAATTTAAATAGATAGATCGCTTTTCGCGATCCTTCGCGCACGCGGTCGATATTAGACGGTCGATAGCTACGCGTAATGTATACCCCGAGACCCGGAGAGAGACGAACGTTGCCTTATCGATTAATGCCCACAATACGATGGTCCGCTTTTCCTCGGTCGCTTGCCTCAGATCGCCCGAAAATCCACAAAATATCGATGGCTCGGTACCGAGCCTGAACGATCGCGAAATACAAAAATAGCGACGGCGGCAGAACAGCCGGCCGGCGGACCGAATCGCGTATGTGGCTCATAAAAAAAAAAGATGGGCAACCTCACCGATACTACTTTCCTCCTGCTGGGGATGATCCTCGGCCTCGTCTTTCACAGGTATCTCGACAACGACACAAAAACGACAACGAATTTAATAGAGCGACTAAGTAGGTCGGCTCCCGCACCAGAATGATCCCTGGATCTCCGCATCCAGAGTCGATAGCGGCGTCAATGACCGCGTAAAGGGGTGCGCAGCCCCCGCGGCCAATCAGGACGCGGCACGCAAGCGATCCCGGCGCCTCGCGAGGTGCGAGTATTTTGTGACAAAATGACAAGTAAAAATTAATATACGCAACAAAATAATAATATCGCTCGTCTCTCCGGGGAGTTCGATAGTGTTCTCTCGTCGTGGATTCTGACGCGGCCGCTCGGCCCGCGCCTCGTTTAAATCAGGGTGGATGGATGCACGACGGGACGGCAACGTCACAATATATATATATATATATATATATATATATATATATATATTTATTTGCTTTTATATATTAAATAATTAATAAGAAAATATATAATATTTACTTTTATTTATTTAATATTTATTTTATTTATACAACTTTATTTTTATATTAGACAATTAATAAGAAAATGTATATATCAAAAATACATATATCAATGGTCTATATGCGGTCCAAGAACACCAGCTGACATGAGTACGGACCTGTCAAGCAGTCACGTGGTCGCTCGAACGTAACGGGTTAGGTTAGGAAATCCCTCCGCCTGACGCCTGACCTGACATCAATGGAAAGTGGAAAGTGGAAGGAGTATAGTTGCCAAAATGGCGGCCGTCGTGCTCCGTCATTGAGGAGGGGCGAAGATTCATTCTCGTCTTTCGACGTCATTCTTCACTTCCCCTCTGCAATACTCGCTCACGCATGATTCGCACGGCCGTGAAGTGACGTTTACGTATTATGTCCTCGTACACGTTCTCGCAGAAGCTGTTCAAGCCTACGCCACCGGAACGCGGCAGTTTCCCGCTGGATCATGAAGGCCGCTGCAAACGCATCATGATCAAGTATATGCGCTGCCTGGCCGACAATCGTAATCAGAACACGATGTGCCGCGACGTCGCCAAGGAGTACCTCGGCTGCCGCATGGACCATGACCTGATGACGCGCGACAATTGGTCCAACCTTGGCTTCGAAAGCGACGAAACCAACGAGGTGGCCAGCGAGACGTAACGCCGAGATCATCTTCGAGATATCCTTGCGTGTCCCTCTCTTGACCAGACGAGGAGTCAGGCATCTCTCTGTTTCCGTTAATCCTTTCCGGAGATTCCGAGCTCCGAGGGTGGATACCCCTAGCCGATTAGTGTTCTTGGAACTTACGTTCGATGTAAATAGGGTACCAAGTAGTCGTGGAATAATTCACAATCGAAATTAGTGTGTTCAGGCAAGAATATACGCACTGCCAGCCAGGTGTGATAAGGACTTTGACTTTGAGCTTTCCCCACGCCAGTGTCGTTGCGGAACTTCATCAGGTATCTGAAGATAGAGGGAACAATACATATTGAAGAGAGAGAGAAATGGAACATTAAAAATCTGTGTATGTATCTTTCGCTTCCATAAGAAGGAAGATTGAAAATTAAGTTATTGCTCGACACACTGGTGAGTCTTCAAGCTTTAATGTAAAGGCATTCCCCTGTAGCTTGTTACGCGGTTGGATTCTGTTGCAACCCAAGTGGCCTAAGATATCGTAAATAGAATATAGAATATCGATATTTATCGCACAGATTGGTATAGCAGTTAAAGTAACAAAGGAAAAAATATGGCAAGTACTTCCAGGAAGAAAGTATTGGTCGGTTGCACTGGTAGCGTGGCTACGATCAAACTGCCACAACTGGTGGAGATGCTGCGGCGAAGCAATCTGGAGGTGAGAGTAGTCGTGACGGAGAGAGCCAAGCATTTTCTGAAAGATGCCCAGCTGCCACCTGAAATTCAAGTGCTGTCCGATACAGTGGAATGGGCTGCCTGGCAGGACAGAGGCGATCCAGTATTACATATAGACCTGGTAAAGTGGGCAGACATATTCGTGATAGCACCACTAGACGCCAATACATTAGGCAAGATTGCTAGCGGCATATGCGACAATATCGTTACATGCGTTGCCCGTGCCTGGGACAATGCAAAGCCGCTACTCTTTTGTCCAGCCATGAACACCAAAATGTGGGAACATCCAATCACCATGCCGCAAGTGAGATGAAAGGAGTAATATATCAAATGTTAGAATAAAGGAAAAATTCTCTGCATATTGTTTGCTTATGGATTAAATCTTGCATTGAGATATGACATAACTAATATAAAAATATAATAAGTCGAGTAAAAATTAATTCTTCTTAAATTCTTTTTTAAATTTCTCTTCTCTAAATATTTTCTCTTATCAAAATTTTTTCAATAATAGAAAAATGTATAGAAATAGTATACAAAAATGTATACAAAAAATGTATGTTACATTCCTTTAGATTGTGCTTTTTATACTTTATTTTTTCCTTTTCATCTTTACGCATAAATATAAATAGGGATAGATTTTTTTATTCTGTTTCTCAATTTGTATTTTTTCATCCAAGTTTATGATGAACACAGAAAGTTGTAAGGTTGAATTTTGCTTTTCAGGTATCACTACTTAAATCCTGGGGCTACAAGGAAGTGCATTGCGTATCCAAGACGCTAATGTGCGGCGATACAGGGATGGGCGCGATGGCCGAAGTGGACACGATTGTGCGGTTTACTTTGCGAGCTTTGACTCCTTGGGCAGATTCGTTGGATCCGCTTCTCTAGCAGCGGCCGAGGTCATCCTCGTGCGAATATCGTCGATGGCCACGCGAATATCGATGAGGATGTCTAAAACATGTCTCATTAAGATCTCCAGAGAGATGCGCTATGGTGCGATTCGAACATACGCTTAATAAAATATACGCCAATATCGCTTATCTAACAGGATCAGGATTGCAAGCCTAAGGACCAGAAATCTCGGGCTGTATACCAGTTATATGATAAAGAGTTTATGTTTATCAATAAAAATATCTGTCGCTAAGTTTCTCCTCGAATTACATTGTTTTTTCTAAGGATCGTATTTTTAAATAGTTTTTAAGATGGAATCCTTTATTGTTATATATTATAAGATAAAATTATTAATTAGAAATCTATAAGAATTTACAAACGATGAAATCTTAGTTTGAACGCATCATGGTCGTCGTATCCTTTGCTCAACCTGGAATAAAAAAATCAATCTTACAGAGAATGGAACAAACGAGATAATCGTAATTTTATCTGTCCAGTTGCCGAAATGCGATATATAAAGATGCTGTAAAGAAGATTCTGTGTTGACATATCCTAAGAGTTGATTTGCCAGAATGTGTACATGCTTTTGTTGAATATATGAACAATATAATATATGAACAAATAAATATACAAAGTGTTCTCCTCTAGAGAAGAATTTTTTTACAATTGTAACATTTCCATCATACATGTATGCATGTACCAAACCGGCGTAAAAATTTTCAGGAGAATAGCGTATCAAGTTTGTTCGGCAAAGTCATTTTATTTCCGTATATACACATATAAAGCACGAACTTGCAATACAAAATACATATAGCATATAACATTACACATTTTATGTTAATTATCCCTTAAGTTTGGAATAAACAGAGGGGAGGGTTTTTTCTCATCTCACGTTTTCGGTTAAATTGCGAGTGAGATACATCGCTTCGATGCATTTCGTTTTTCTCAACAAAGATATACTCAATCAAAATCATTGAATTAATCGATAACAGAAATATAATATCATTTTGTATCGTTTGTCCCCATCTTGTTGCTGCACGCTTTATAAACATACGATACATTCTGCAACACGCACGACTTAATATAACTTTTTATTATATATATAACACGTATAAATATATACGAAAGTGTATTTTTACATAGAAATATTTATATAAACTTTGCAAATGTATTTCGAGTTCAATTTAAAGTCGACTTTTCTTTATTAAATTTTAATGACAGATGCATTCTTTTTCCATCTTTTTTGATCTTAAAAATTAGATTATATTGAAACTTGAACCAAAAATTCTCTCTTCGAATCAAAGTTCAATTAAGATTAAAAATGCGGAATAAGATTTTCTATTTATTTCTATCTTGAAATATTTTTTTCGTTAAATGAAAAATATAAAGAAAAAATTTTAAAAAATCAATTTCTTTTAATTGTAAGTTGAAAGTTTATGTTCGCAAAATTCATGCAAATATTTCAGGAATACACTGCACCGTATACATATATAAATCTGCGAGATTGCTTTTACGCTATTCCCTTTTGACATTATGCCTAACTACTCGAGATATCGCGGTATATAAATATCACAGTTTACAAAACTGGCGACACTGCGTTTTGCCTGTGTCCTTTTTCGCTAAATTATACGATTATATTAATAATTAATACAATATTTATATAAAATACGTGCTCTTGTCGGAATCAACTATCTTCATCTACAAAGATTCCGAATAATAATCGCGTCACGAATAATAATTACGTCATTTACGGAAGGTCGTACGGAATTTCTTATGGATGGCGCGTATCCTTGGAATAACAAGGATCTCTATCTCGATTTAAAATCTCTGTAGCAAAAAAAAAATAATGAAAAATATTGGATTTTCTTGGCAGTGGTAGTTAGTAATTGTTAGAATCGCGCGCAAGATTGTGAAATATCCTCAAGAATTTACATTTTTTCGAGGATCGATTATTATATCGTTCATCGTACAATATAAATTATCTCTTAAATTAATTACTTTGTATATAAATGCCATGTAAAAAGACGATATAGAAAAATGCTCAAAAATATGCGCAGCTCCAGAGCGCGATTTTTCCAGGAAATGCTGGTATCAAAGATATGGAACTAAGTCACTTCTTTCCTATGAGAGAGGACTCTGAAATTTTTATATCGATATAAATATTATATTTTTATAAGAGATATACATACAAAAAGTGATACTATAAAAGTGATTCTGTAAAAATTATCATCTTTTTTATTTATTTTTATTTCATATAACATGATATCATGATATTTTCATGATTCATCGATTGCCATTTCATAAAATATTTCCTCTCTTTGAAAATGAAATTCCCTTAGTGACTTAGTTCGATATCATTCCTCGAATTTTGTTCAAACCGTAATCGCGATTTTTTTTATTAGAATCGGCGGAGAAATTGATATTTATGCTATAAATTCAAAGCACAAACTTTGAATTTTGATCGATACGTCGTTTTTCATTTTCATCGACATCGCCACCTAAATATCCCGTGCGAAATGCCGTTTGGTGGCTGAAAGGACACTTGTATTACAGCGATAATCTGAAAGCATAAGAAAACAAAAACAAATGTAACAGTAGCTTTTTCATGTTTAACTTCTTGATTTAAATAGGTTTAAATTTTAGTTGCTAAATTATATTTGTGATCCTTGTAACATTACTCTGCTTTACTTGCGATCTTAAATTGCTATAAAATTTAATATAATTTAATTATATAATTATTTAATAATATAATTTATATAAATCTTACATATCATTTCAATTAGCATATCATTTCATTGTAAATATGTATGTCATAATTTTAATTTTATAGCACAAATTATGATCAAACATAATATTATACAGCCTTATGATATCTACAAAAATTGTGAAGAGTATTTAACGCTAAATAATATATTTAGTATAGTTGTCATTTTAAAAGTTTTTTTTTAAATTATACCCATCTTTGGTTTTGAAGAATTAATGATTCAAGTACAATAATTTTTTGATTAACTTTCTGCATAACGGGAAATTAAATTTGGAAGAAGGAGAATTAAATTTTATTTGAGAATTAAAAGGAGAAGGAAGAATGCAAATTGGATCGCATTAATGTTTAAGTTATCTAAAAAATGTAATGAAATGTGGCTTCTCGATATTAATTAAAATCTTTTTTCAGTGAGATTATTAGAAAAGTTGAAATATCTAGCAAGATAATTATATAGAAGAGAATAAAAAAAGAGCATAAATTTAATTTTCAAACGTACATTATATTCTCATGACAAAGATAGCAATGATTATCGCGAGTATCGGCACGATTCTCCCCGCGGAGGCGGCGGAAGCCGACACAATCCTCGATTTCCTAGGCAGATTAGTTTCTATGTCATTGGTCTCCACTTCCGGCGGCGGACAGCCCATCCAGACTGGCGCCGAGAGTTTTTGTTTCTCGTGCGCCACCCTCATCCTGAGATCGTCAAACTCCCAGAAACCTTTACCTTTAAAAAAGTACGTCTTGCCTGCCGAAAAAAAAACAAAATCGTACAATCATGTGGAAGATCAATGTTACATAATTATTAAAAAAGTTATATTGAAAACTTAAAAAAATTAAAATTATATTAAAAAATCACTGATATCTTTTAAAAATTCAATTTATTCATATATTAGTTATATTGATAATTTATATTGAAATTTATTTCTGAAAAAAACTGAAAAATCGATGTTCGAGATTTACCATTTTTCCATTGGAAAACGGCGTCGATGTCGTTCCCAACGCCGGCGAACATGCTCATGTCTCTTGGATAATCGAGTTCCACGTAATTAACAGATTCATCGAATCTGCGTGATAGAAAATTAAATTGGATAATTGAATTTTATTTGAGAATTAAAAGCGAAGAGAGAAAATGCAAATCGGACTGTACGTATTGACATTTAAATGATAAGGTATGCAAAGGATACTGTATCTAAAAAATTTATATAGTGTGATTTTAGTGCAAATTAACATCTCTTTTTAGGGGCATAGATTGTAAGAAAAGTTGAAAAATGGGCTAACGTATAGAAGAGAATAAGAAAGGAGACTAAATTTAATTTAAGAAACTTTAGGAATCACGCTTTAATCACCTCCAATACATGGAACCGCTAAAGAAATAAGTTCTGCCATTATGACCCCACACCATGGCGCCGTCGATTTTCTCCAAAGAAGCTGGCAATCCCAGGTTAGTCAATGGTTTCGGATAACCCGCTTCCAGGCTGATGGCGTCAAAGACATAGTATTCACGACCGACGAAGAAGACTATTTTCTTGTCCGGGCGTTCATACACGGCATCGACGTGATCGATGCTCGGCGGTAAGTTAAATAGCCTGGTAATCTCTGCTGGATATCCCTCGTAGATCCCGCGATCTCCTATTCGCCACAGATACTGTGGACCAAAAAGAGTTCCTCAATAGAAGTTGGCTTTTTTAGAATATCTCACAAAGCTTTAATAATCAAAAAATATTTAATTTTAAAATTATAACGTTCATTGTATATAAATATATGTAATAATTAATTATATATGCGATATTTTAATTTGTCTAAGAAAAATGTTTCATTCTTTTAATATATATCATTAAAATTATGATACAATAGTTATAAATGAGCTATCTTATTTTTGAGAATTTGAAGTTATGAACTATTAGATATATTAATCACACATTTTGCCTTTAGAAAATAAATTTCTTTTTTCTGCAATGAAGTAAAATAATAACGTCCAGATTTATCATATCTCTTTTTTCAAATTTATTATTACAAAATTCTTACTATTTTAGCATTTTCTTATTATTTTATCTTCTTTTCTTAATTTGATTATTGTAACACTTACCCGTCCTTTGAAGATAAAGACCTCCCTGCGAATGATGCTGATGGCGTCATAGCTGGTGTCGCACTTATCGGGCACGTCGTCTCGTTGCGGTGGGGTCCCTCGATGTCTAAACCTCGGTGTAGGCCTCATCGTTGTCGTCGTCGTCGACCATGTCGGGTGATGACGATGGGGCTTATGTGGTCGATATTCAGGTTTTTGCGGATAACGACCCGGTTGTCGAGGCCTGCCATCGTCCGGATAATGATTGGGCCTAGTAGGCCTCGTCCTCCAGGGTCTGTACGTCGACATCGTTGTTGTCGTCGTAGTCGTTGTCGGGGGTGGCGGTGGCGGTCGCTCTGGTGGCGGCGGGCCACCCGGTATGTTGCCCCATAGCCTGTCCTCGGGAGCACCTGAAAAATGATCATTTCTTTTGTTCACTGCATTTTTCTTCTCTTTTGTTTGTTTAATAAACAATATTTAAAATTAATAATATGAAATACATCTGTAATTTATTAATAATATAAAATACATCTGTAATTTATTAATAATATAAAATACATCTGTAATTTATTAATAATATAAAATACATCTGTAATTTATTTAAATTGAAATTATTAATTAAACATATGTATATGATTAATTCGTTTATACAAAATTTTACTGAAAGTTTCTAGCGACAGTTATATAAAATAAAAAATCACAGATCACAAAATTATATTTAAAGATTTTAATGCTAATTAATAAATATTCTCTTATAATATTTAATTTTATAATTATGTTTTACATTAATAGTAATAAATAATAAAATATAAATATATTTAAAAGAATCAAAATAACGCAATGACGTAAAAATTCACGTGGAGGGGAAACTTGGTTTTTTCAAAGAAATTTTGCAGGTGATAAATGGACGTGGTTCAATGCGAAGTTGCTTATCAACGCGAATGCATTGACGGATGCATTCCAGATCGATTCATCCAGGGGTGAGTACACGAATAAGCGCACACGCTAATGTGAAGAGAAGCAAAAAGAGCTGATTCTGTTCTCGCTTCCGCATCCGTGATGAATTCATCCCTTCGCCTTTCACGACGACCGACTATCCGTGAAAAGAAATTCTGTCATAGAAATGCGGTCGATATAGAAATATAATCATGTACACGGGCAAGTATATATGTACGGAAATGCTCTATAAAACATAAAAAGGAAGTAAATTTATCACTCGAATATTATATTTTTACTAATCATAGAGCGCAATTGCATGGTGAAATATTTTAATCAGCGGATGCAAACAGTACATGTATATATTTAGTTATTACAAGCTATTGAAAGAAATATTTATAAAAATATGCATACAAATTTAAAATAGGTATATAAACAAAAATTTTCTAATATATGTGCAAAGGATGTTTCTCTCTTTCTCTTTGATATACATTTTATTTCTTCTTAAATAGTATTGAATAATATGAACGGTGCAATCTTTCTATTCAGAGAGAACAACGCAAAAAGATTTTGAGAGATGTTTTAATTAAAGCGAATAGATTACAAAAATTGCATTGCAATTCTCTCTGTTTAATAGATATTTTTACACTGCAATTACAATTTTCCTGGAGTTACCGTGATTTTAATCAGTCTATTGAAACTATTTACCAATTTCAAACAAGCACGTTTTTTCGACGAACCAGTTTAAATAAAATGCGTTTGCGATCTGTCGAGTGGCTATTGACTTTCGCTGATATACGGGCATTATTTTACTTTGTGTGATTGGCAATGGAGAAGAGGCACAAACAACGGGGGCTTTTAAAATGCCTCTCGCTTTTAAAGTGCGTAGAAGTTGATTTTGCGCCACCCAGTTTCCGGTTTACTCTCGGGAAATTGAATTTTTCCGATATTACGTATACGAAGATATTGCGCAATAGTATATTTTTAGCTTCTTCAACGGATTCAATTTTTTTTCCTCATCTCTTGTTAAGTCATTTCGTTAAATGGAATTTAAATAGCAAGTTTAAGGACGCAATAAAAATTATTGCAATTTCCGATTACATTTGAATTCAATCTGATTGATATATATTTGATGAAAAGTAAATACGATGCAAACATCATATTATATGACTTTATTTTATTAAAAGTTAAATCTGTATAGTTTCATTGATATAAAAAATATCACTTTAATTTCAATTAAAAAAATGTTTATATAAAAAAATACGGTACGATCAATTTCTGTATAAATATACAGATGCATAGTGAAGCTATCGACCAGTTTAATATTTAAACACACATTGGTAGATAACAAAATCAGGTTATCGATAATATAATGACAACCAACGTGCACGTGTTTGAATAATAAAGAGAAAACAAAAAAAAAATATTTATATATAAGCGTATAACTTACGCTCAATGTTGCACGCGAGGGAAAAATATCGTGCCAGCGGTAGAAATATTTTACAGGCTCAAACTGCAGTTGTGGAGCGATAAATCTTTGATGATACGTGCGGGCGTGTTGCACGATCAACATTTGGTTTTATCGCACTGATGCGTTTTACATTCGCTCTTTTTGCCTCTCTCGATGAAGATCGTGTCATCCTACTCCGGGAAAATCACTCGATTAATTCCGCGATTGCGATGAGCGCATAAATCGGATTAATAGGATAAAATTACGAGTGCGTTCACGAGTGATAAATCGCGTTCTTCTTGCTCGTAATGTGCACAACACATGCGGGCGCAACGGATCCGCTCAATTTACCCTGTATGCGATACGTGTTACGCAATAACTGTGCGTACATACTGGTTTACGTTATTGATCGCCGAAGAGAAATGATACTTAAATACATTTGCGTAAATTTTGTTGTCAAAATGGCTGTAGAGACTATAGATAAAACGATAAAAATGTGTGAGCGTAAATTAAATGAAGAATGAAAAGATTAAAATCTACCTAATTTGATTCCTTCAAAATTCAATTGTAATTTTAAAAGTTATCTAATAAAAAAGTAAAAATGATATAATAAAATATCTTAAAGATAGATATTTAATATTTGTACGCCATATAAAATTATATATAATGATGTGCATTAGAAAAAAATATAAAATTATAAAAATTTGAAAAATGTCAGCGTGCGATCTTTATATTGCATATAAATTTAGCAAGTTGCAATAAACAGATATATATATATATATATAAACTTAGACAAAGAAAATTAAATAATATCTAATAGAATTAGAATACGCTTCTTATGTTTCTTTCAAAATATTTGAGGACGTATAAGAAACAATTATTAAAAAAAATAATAATAATAATAAAAAATATAGATATATATAATAATAATAATAGAAAAATAATAATAATAAATTCTAACAATAAAAATACTTAATATTAAATACTAAAAATAAAAATAATAAACATAAATATTATAATCGTTATCTTTATAAGAAAGGCAACATTGATTGTTATCCTCGATCTAAAAAAATGCAGAGTTTAAAAGACTCGAATCTGAATCATTTTTTACAGGAATTTGACACGTCTCGTGCACCATTTGCATAGAAATCCGAACTCGACCGGAGCTTATCGAATAGCATGTGAACGCGATAACCCGCCTGGTGTAGTGCACGGTTCTGCAGTCGAATGATAATTAATATTCGCCAGTGACCTACCAATTAGCGTAATCTAGACAGTGAAAGAGAGAGAGAGAGAGAGAGAAAGAGAGAGAGAAAGAGAGGAAGAGGGAGAGGGAGAGAGAGGGGGGGGGAGAGAGAGAAGAGGGAGAAGAGGAAGAGGGAAACAGAGGGAGGAAACCGCCAGTTCCTGAACATCGAATCTAATCTCAATTCCCGACTGATGCAATTACAATGACGCGCCCGATAATTGCCTTCGCACCCCCCAATATTCTAACTGTCTCTCTCGATCTAGTCCCTCTTTTATCGGCCGCAGGAGATCTTGCCGCCACGCCAAGTAATTTCCGATCGTAATAAACAAGTTAGTCACGTCGTCATTAACTCTAGATTTTATTATGTTAACGTAGAGAAAAGTTCATATAATCTTAATATTAATATTTATTTCAATTTCATTTTCGAATGCTTAACATTTCCAGTTTTAAATTTTAAATTTTAAATTAAATGTTTTCTTTAATCCTTCAACAATATTTTAATTTTAGACAAGATAAAAGACAGCGTATTTTTAATTTTAAATTTAATTTTAAATTTTTACTTCACTCAAAAAAAAATATTCGATAATTTTATCTGCGAAGGCGGAACTACGTCCGAGATTTTATTACCGGAAGATATCTTGCTTCCTAACAGCTGCGTCGATTAAAGTAATCGGCCGTACATTAGCGTAATAACTTGCGAGTAGTGGAATTATGATCCATGAAAATTGAAACGACTGCAAGGAGCCTAGGGTCTCAGCATCATTAAAAGATAAATGTGAGAAATAATAGGAATAACGATCTTGAACGTATGAAAGAGAGATGAACGAGTCGGATAACATCATTCCAGAATGTATAAAATTCATCAACTTCCGACACAACTTTCTTCCGGAACACATCCGGGAGAATGTTCCCTCCTTCCGTCCGAATTAGAAAAAACGCAGATTTATTATCGCGAAATATACGTATGTGTATAAAAGAGAAAAACAAGCATCCTGTTTATAGCATTGTAAGTTTGGTGAATGTAAAAATTCTGGCGAAAATTGTTTTTATTCAACATAATATAAAGTATAAAATATCTACTTCTTGAATTTAGATGTAAATGTCAATCTTGCCGCTTTCAAATGTGAATGTAATTTCCTCTAAAATTTATTAATATTATCAATATAAATGTATAATATATATATTGCATATATATTATATAGTTTCATAATATCATTAATAGTTTTTAGGTATTATAATTATATTCGAATAAATATGCAGTTAAGGTCAAAGTGAATTAATTTAAGATTATAAGTGAATAATGAATAAAGGTAGAAATTAATAAAAATATAAATTGAGATGTGTATTTCCAGTTTACATTGTAAATGTAAATGCTACATGTAATTTATTGTAATAGGCATTCGAGAAATTTTTGATAAAAATTTAATCTGGAATTAAAAACATGTTTGGAAAACTTGAATTTGTGCCAAAAAATAAGATAAAAATAATAAAATTGATTACGCTTAAAAAATAATAAAAAAAGAAATGCAACAAAAAATCGGATTTTATAATATAATCTGATAAATATATTTAATAATAACAAAAATGTTTCGTATATATATATATATATATATATATATATATATATATATGTATATATATATATATATATACGAAACATTTATTTACTTTAATACGTACTTTAATATTAACGATTGCTCGAAGGATTGAGTAGAATTCATGAGAGAAAGCGAACTTCTTTTTTTCACCATTGTGAATTGAAAAATCTGAGAAAG